TGACACTATTACGTGTCGGGGTACGGGAGCGTACGGGAGTACTTTATTAGTATTTTCCATATACTTTTATTTTGAAGAGCTTTGGAGTCTTTGTTTCTTTTATGAAGTGATCGGACGAGCTTCATGAGTCAGTGTTTCCATTCTCGATGCCGGATAGGGGTGAGTCTGGGGGTTCAGACCACAGCCTAGGCATTAGTCAGTGTTTCCATTTTCGATGCCGGATAGGGGTGAGTCTGGGGGTTCAGACCACAGCCTAGGCATTAGTCAGTGTTTCCATTCTCGATGTCGGATAGGGGTGAGTCTGGGGGTTCAGACCACAGCCTAGGCATTAGTCAGCGTTTCCATTGTCGGATAGGGTGCGTCTGGGGGTTATATACCTCACGATATTCAGACCACAGCCTAGGCATTGATAATTACCCCCGACTTAATTGTCTTGTGGTTCTTTCTTTTACGAACAAAGGTTCATGGTTAAACTTATTCCATTCATTTGATGTCTTTATCGATCCTTGTTTGCTGCTAGGGGATTTCCGAAGCAGTTTCGTTAGTTGGTTGTTCATATCGATCCTTTAGGCTAGATCTAGTAAGATCACTGTATAGGATCAGTATGTGGGGATCGACGTTGTTAGTGCTTGTAGTATAAACCTTGGGCAACGATTGGACTTCGTGCCTATTCCTTAGGATGAATCCTTAGGAATGAGTGATAGTTGATTCTTAGGGTAAATCCTTAAGAAATAAATAAGATAATGGGGATTGGGTAATTGGGTTGATTGTTTGATGTTTAAGCATAATAAATTTATTTATTGTGGGGTGAAAACCCTATATGCTCACCAGGCTCCCAAGCCTGACCCACTCAGTTTAATTGTATCACAGGTATCGATACGAAGTTACTTTACACTGAGAGATTAAAAGAGAAGTAGATCACTAGTGTAGATGAATGTAAGTTTTGTTTATGTTTATGTTTTTGTATTGAAAATGACATCCCAATGGTTTAAGTGAATAAAATACATTTCTTCGGAAATGATTTGATAACATATTTATCATGTTTTTCTGGGAACAAATTCCGTAACATCTTTTAAAAAGGATTACTCTGATTTTATTTTAAAAAGCATAAACGAAATCGGTCTTTTCTGGCCGTGAAATTGGGGATGTCACAATAGTGGCCTTTGTGACACTTGTTGATATGCATGTATGTGCTTTTTGTCTTTGTGACTCTTGCTGATATGACTGTATGTTATTCGTATGTGGGGTGAAATAGAGCTAGGGGTGAAATAGATCCGTTCGGTTGAAAAACACTAATTGAGTTGACATAAACTCGGGGGTGATATAGACCCGAGGGTGAAATATACCTGTTACAGCTTCGAGCTGATATGTATTCATGGTATGTGGTATTTTGGGGAACTCGCTAAGCTTTGTGCTTACGGTTTTATGTTTATAGTTTCAGGTACTTCTGGTTCCAAGGGGAAGAGCTCGACATGATTGTACCGTATCCACCAGTATTTCGCATGATTGACTTGTTTTGTACTTTGATGATTATATGACATGTTTTTATACGCTGATAGGATTTCTAATTGAATGAATGTTTGTTTCGATCGATTTAAAGAAAAAATTTCACTTATAACTTTTGGGTAGTTACACTGTCTTAGGAAACAGGAAACCACATGAGATTCTTCTGAAAAGGTTGCCCACGTATGAACACTTACGTGTTTTTGGTTGCTTGGATTATGCTCACAATACATTGGGAAAGCATGAAAAGTTTGATAAAAGAGGAAGACCCTGTTTTTTCCTTCGATATCCTATGGGTCAAAAGGGATACAAACTTTACAACTTGAAGGATCAAAGAATACACATAACACGAAATGTCACTTTTGTTGAGAGCAAGTTTCCTTTTGGAGAAAAATATGAAGGACATAAGACAACTGAGAATAAGCAATTAGTCGATGCATTAAATGAAGTACAAGATGATGTTGATATGCACATGGATCAATTAAATGGCACTATTGAAACTTACCATGAAGATAGCCTACCTGTTTCCGATGCGTCCCAGCCCACGTCTCCAAACCACAAAAAAATCACAAAGAGACACTAGACTTGCCAATAACGACAAGAATACTTACGTTCAAACCAGTCATGAAACAGGGATTAGACATGCAACACGGATACACATGAAACCAAAGTACTTGTAAGATTTCGTAATTGATCTGCTACCATCACTCGGCAACTCCTCACCTATTCCCACTTCAAGATCTTCGGTGTCCGGCAACTCACTGGTATATATCCTCTATCTCAATTTATTTCTTATAATAAATTTTCAAAATCCCACCAGGTGTTCTTGGCTTCCATCACTTTAAATGAGGAACCAAAAGATTTTGCCCAAGACATAAAGAATCCAAAATGGGCTAAAGCGATGAAAAGAGAGATAACAACCCTCGAAGAAAATGGCACTTGGTCTCTTATGAAAGCTCCCGCCATGAAAAAGAGCAATTGACTCAAAATGTGTCTAAATGATGAAATACAAGCCAAATGGAGAAGTTGAAAGGTTCAAGGCTCGTCTCGTGGCAAAGGGGTACACTTAAATAGAGGGCATTGATTTCCATGAAACCTTTGCTTCGGTGGCAAAGTTCGTTAATGTTAGATATGCCTTGGCTGTTGTAGCAAAAAAAAAGATTAGGAGGTGCATCAGATGGACGTAAATAACGCCTTAATGCATGTCGATCTTAAAGAAGATGTATACATGAAAGTTTCTCAAGTGAAACTCGGTTATGTAAATTGCAAAAATCCATCTATAGTCTTCGTCAAGCCTCCAGAAATTGGTACAAAAAGTTTACGAAAGCTCTCATTGATATCAGATTTCGACAAAGTAAAGCTGATCATATAATGTTCACATTTAGGATGGATTCCATGTATATAGTTACTCTAATCTATGTCGATGACATGTTAATGGGAAATGATACAAACAAAATCAATGAAGTGAAAACCCATCTTCAGAATAGTTTCAGTATTAAAGATTCGGTCCCACTCAAATACTTTCGTGACATCAAAGTTTCTCGTTCAATGGAAGGATTTGTGATTAGCCAGAGAAAATATACTCTGGACATTCTTGAATATTATGGTATGATTGCGTGCAAGCCTAGTAACTTCCCAATGGAGCAAAAAGTTAAACTCAGAAAGGTTGACGATAGTCATGAGATTGATGCATCTCGTTACAGAAGATTGGTGGTGCGTCTACTCTATTTAACGGTCACATGAACGGACATAACATTTGCAGTAAACCAACTTAGTCAATTCTTAAGCAATCCTCGAAAGCCTCACTTGGATGCAACACATAGAGTGTTTCGTTATTTGAAAACCATACCAAGTCAAGGTTTATTTCTTCCGTAATCTGGATCTTTGCATCTCATAGCTTATTGTAATGCTAGTTGGTTCAGCTGCCCTACAACTAGAAGGTCATGCACAGGATATTTATTAGTCTTAGAGGATCCCCAGTTTCATGGAGAACAAAAAAACAAACAGTTGTATCGATATCTTCAATAGAAGCACAATATAGGTCTATTGTCAGCACAGTGTGTGAAGTTTTATGGTTGAGATGGCTTCTTACTTAGGTGTTGATCAAAATGGTCTTACACCTCTCATGTGTGACAATGAAGCTGCAAGACTTATTGCAACTAATCCTGTTTATCATGAACGGACGAAACATGTTGAGATGGATTGCTATTTTGTGCGTGAAAGAATACAAAGTGGGGAAGTGAAGATTGTTGCCATTAAAACAAACTTTCAAACTGCATACATTTTTACCAAAGCACTTGGGGCAGATTGATTCAAGTTCCTATGTGGCAAGTTAGGTGTTTGTGACCTATACAATCCAACTTGAGAGCGAGTATTGAGATTCAAGATAATGGCAGATGGTTATTATCTTTAGTTGTTTTATTCCCTTTAGTATTTATTCTATTATTTGATTGTTTTTAGGATTCTTGTTAGACTTATATTAAAAACTCTTGCTCAGTGTTGATTGAATTGAATAAGGAAAATGTTTTTCATTCTCTAAACTTTTTAATAAATGGTGTTACAAATGAGAGGCAAAATTTTGAATTACTTTATATTGTTTGATATTATAGACTACATGATCAACATTTCCTTCTAATTGTATGCTCGTAAGAAATCCCTTCGACACACAAGGAAATGGGATGTTGTCCATATATTAAGGAGCCAATATTAATTAAGTAGAAGGGACTTGCTCCATGACAAACGATATAAGGGGGACATGAAGAAACAATATGGGATGTATGGCAGTAGAGTATCAGGATGTGCATATGTTAAAAAAACTTTCAATGTGATGCCATTTAATGCATCCTTCTCAAGTAGAGATTAGAGAGACTCGATGTTTAATATAATGACCATCTATACAAAGAATTAAAGTTCAATTTTAATATTTTTCGCAATATAAGTTATTTATCAAATATTTTATTTTGCTAATTTCCAACTCAATTTAGGCTAAGACAAGCGTTTGAATGATTATTGTTAGGCTCTATTGATTATACATACAAAAAATAAGTTCAACCGATAGGTAATCATCCAAATTAGACACAAAATTTATTTAACTCTTAGATCTTTATGGGAGTATTATTTAACTCTTAGATCTTTATGAGACTCCCATGTAGTGCTTGTCTAACATGTTTACTCTCATTCTTGCGTCATGCATAGGTCTAACCATTCCCTACTTAAATCATTCAAAATAGAACATGCTAATTTCTTGCTAAGGTCTTACCATAGCCCATAAATTCACCTTGGGATGAGATATAATTAGGTGTAATGATGTCCAAAATATAATTAATTTATAAGCCATCATTAACTAATTAGGTCCAACCTAAGGTACAAAAATTAAAAGGTTAAGAAATTAAAATTGTGTAGAATAGAAAAAACATAATTTGTTTGCCGGAAAAATTCATAGTCGGTCACTACTGCCACCACATCGATGTCAATTCACTGTTGCTTGCTACCTATCAATGTTGAAAGCATCGAAGTGGGGCTTCGCCACCAGCCGCCAACATCCACTGTTAAGGGTTGGGCGAAAAGGAGAAGGGGCAGTCTCCCCTTTTAGACCATGTCCGCTGAGTCGTAGGCTAATGGGTTGTCCGCCTTGGGCCTGGTCTGCTGGAGTTGGTTGGTTCTTGTGGGCTTGGCAACTTGGTCAAGGAGGCTAAGAAAAATTATTATATGGGACCAAGTAAATTGAGTCTCGGTGGAAGGTGAATGGACGAAAGCAATAAGAAGAAGAGGGAAACAGATATCAAGAACTGGAGACCGTACTGGGTGGAGACATGCCGGAGTAACGACGATGTTCGTGTCCAACTTTCCATTGGCGGCGAGAAAAGATATCCTAAAGAAAATTTTCGCAAAGTTTGGAGAGGTGGTTGATGTTTACATGGCAACGAAGCCCCACTTTGATGTTCCTTCGAATGACAACCACACCCAGGATTGTGTTGAACCGAACGAGGGTCTGGATAATGTAACTATTGGGCACCTGGGTAACTTAGCTGGGTCCGGCTGTTTTGGGCCGTTTCCGAATAATTTGGGACCAACTGAAATTTGGATGGATCAAATGGAGGTTAATTTCAAAGGTGCTCAAGACAAAAGGAGATTACTGCAATCTGACGAGGTTACCCCTCCTATGTTCTCGAACCCTCATTTATCTCAGACTACAATCGACCTTAATAGATCCCCGAGTCAATGTGGGTTCCCCTGTCGGAGTCAGACGAAGAATCCTCATCATCATCCTCTAAAATAATAAATACATTGGAAATTGGCAAGATGCTAGGCTTTCAAGTTGAGGAAGATAATCCATTCCTACTGGAAGTCTTTGGAGACAACGGTGAGAATCAGATACCTCAATAAATATTATGTCCTTAAATGTTAGAGGTATAGGTGAAAAATGTAAGTCCGATTGGGTCCGTAAGCTAAGTAATGATCATAAATTATGCATGATTGCCATTCAAGAGTCTAAGTTGGGTGAATCCACTTCCGCATTTAACGCGTCGGTTTGCTGGGGAGACTCAAACTGTAATATCGAGCAAGTTTATACCACAGGTAGATCTGGAGGCTTGATTTCTATGTAGGATAATAGGATGTTCTCATTGGTGGAGACAATAAGATCGAGATACTATATGTGATAGTGGGGAATCTGGTCAGTATTAGCGGGCTCACTGGTTTGGTGAACATATATGGACCTCAGTTGGTGGGTGAGAAAGCAAAGGTCTGGGACGAACTATTAACAATCAAACGTGCTAGACTCGCCACGTGGATTTATATGGGAGACTGCAATGTAGTCCGTAGAGCTGATGAACGTATTAATTCTTCATTTTGTCATCGTAGTGCAAGCTCCTTCAATCAGTTCATTCAAAATGGGGAACTCACTGACTTGAAGATGGGCGGTCAAAGATTTACTTACTTTAAAACCCAGGGGGCTAAACTAAGCAACCAGGATCGCTTCTTAATTTGTAACAACTTCTTAGCTTCCTTCCCTCTAGCTTCTTGTTTTGCAATGGATAGAGACCTCTCAGATCACTCTCCGATAATTCTTCGTGCGCGTTGTGATGACTTCGGCCCTCCTCCCTTTAAGCTCCTCAATTCTTGGATGTTGAATGAAGAATTTGACAGGATCGTGTTTGAAGCATGTTTGGGCTTTGGGGGATTTGGCACTCCGGATATGTATTTACTTAATATATTAAAAAGAATCAAAAGGTTGATTAGGGATTGGAAAATAAAAGTTGTAAGTGATGGCTTCGCACACCTCAAATGGACCCAAACTCGAGTTATAGCAACCTACTTTCATAAATATGGCCATGGCTTGGATGAAAACGGATTCAAGCCTCCTTTTATGACCCTAGAGGCTAAATACTATAGGAAGAAAGGGTTACTTTGCATACAACCCATATAAGCTAACTCATTCTTTTAAAAAGGGTCAAAACACCCAAAAACTCAACATACAAATAGATCTAAGCTATAGTTCACCAAGCTAAGAGCTTTTTACCTCAGAAAGCTACCAAAGATGAGTGTGTTCCTGGATCTTGTTCTCTTTCCCCAAGCTTGTTAGCTCCAAGCTCTTACAACTACCTTCAGTGGCACCAAAATACACTCAAAAACTCAAGGAAGAGGCTCTCTAACGAACTAGGGTTTTCTGTGAGACAGGGAGGCTGATAAGGGAGGCCCAAAAGGGGTTTAAGATGTTTAAATAGGGTGCAAAACCCCGAAAATAAGGTTTCCCCCTGGCAGACCTACTCGTCGAGTCCATGCTTGGACTCGCCGAGTAGACTCTTTAAATCCCGCGTCCATTTTGCCATCTACTCAATGAGTTAGGGCTACCAACTCATCGAGTAGCTCAACTAATTACCTGAATAATTTAGATAATTGCGTACCAGGAACGGGGCGTTACAATTCTCCCCCACTTGTCTTAGACTTCTTCCTCGAAGTCTGCTACGTCTGAAAACAACTCTGGGTAGTGCTCCCTCATTTCCTCATCGGGCTCCCACATCCACTCCGAACCCTTGCGGTGTTGCCACTGCACCTTCACTAGCTTGAACCTTTTGTTCCTCATCTCCTTGGTCTTGCGATCCAGAATCGCCACTGGTCTTTCTATGTAATTCAGGCTGTCATCAACCTGCATATCCTCTAAGGGAACCACTGCTGAATCATCCACCAAGCACTTCCGCAGCTGGGAAACGTGGAAAGTGTTGTGGATTTGGCTGAGATCTACTGGAAGATCTAACTGGTAAGCAACCCGACCCACCCGTGCCAAAACCCTAAACAGACCAATGAACCTGGGTCCCAGCTTACCCCGCTTCCGAAACCTGATAACACCCTTCAAGGGTGACACTTTCAAGAGGACCATATCGCCCCCCTGAAACTCCAAGTCCGAACGCCGCTTGTCGGCGTAACTCTTCTGCCGACTCTGAGCAGTCTGGAGCCTGCTCCGGACTTGCTGAATCCGCTCCGTGGTCTTGAGTACTACCTTCGTACTCCCCATGACCCTCTGACCGACCTCACCCCAACAGATCGGGGTCCTACACTTCCTCACGTCAAGCATCTCGAAGAGAGGCTGGTCTATACTGGAGTGGTAGCTGTTGTTATACGAAAATTCCGCTAACGGAAGATACGTATCCCAACTGCCACCAAAATCTAGCACGCATGCACGAAGCATGTACTCGAGAGTCTGAATCGTCCTCTCGCTCTGACCGTCCGTCTGAGGGTGGAAAGCGGTGCTGAAATGGAGACGAGTACCCATCTCGTCGTGAAACCGCTTCCAAAACCTGGAAGTAAAACGGACATCTCGGTCTGACACCACCGAGACAGGAACTCCATGACGTGCCACTATCTCTCGCACATAAATCTCGGCCAGCTTCTTCGCCGAGATGCTCTTCTGGATCGGTATGAAATGAGCGCTCTTGGTCAACCGATCCACAATGACCCATATCGAATCGACCCCACGTGCGGTCTTGGGAAGCTTAGTAATGAAATCCATAGTGATATCCTCCCATTTCAACACGGGAATGTCTAACAGCTGCATCTTACCGTGAGGCCTCTGGTGCTCCACCTTGACCTTCCTATAGGTCAGGCATCTCTCCACGTACCAAGCTACGTCCCACTTCATGCAGGGCCACCAGTAATCGGGTCGAAGATCTCTGTACATCTTCGTCACCCCTAGATGGATGGAGAACCGGGACTTGTGGGCCTCATCCATCAATACCTGCCGTACTCCGCCCTAGTACGGTACCTAGACCCTCCCATGTAGGGTCAAAAAACCTCGGCTATCATAATCAAATGAAGCTACTCGGCCCACAATCCTCTCGCACTTCTGGCGCTCCTCCTTCAGGCCCTCAACATGTGCCTCCCTAATCTGCTCCAGCAGTGGAGTAATCACTGTCATCCTCAAAAAGATATCTCGGATCGGAGCCGCCACTGCCTTGCAGCTCAGGGCATCAGCCACTACATTGGCCTTGCCCGGGTGATAAAGGATCTCACAATCGTAATCCTTCACCACATCTAACCACCGACGTTGCCTCATGTTCAGATTCGGATGATCCATAAGGTACCTCAAACTCTTATGGTCCGTGTAAATGGTACACCGGACCCCGTAGAGGTAATGTCGCCAAATCGTGAGGGCGAACACCACAACCCCCAGATCCAAATCATGTGTCGGATAGTTATCCTCGTGGGGCTTCAGTTGCCTCGAAGCGTAAGCTATCACATGACATCGTTGCATCAATACTGCTCCCATACCTGTGATCGAAGTGTCACAGTAGACTACGAAGTCATCCACTCCCTCTGGCAGGGTGAGAATCGGCGCCTCACACAATCGCTGTCTGAGCGTCTCAAAGGTTGTCTGCTGCTCAGAATCCCAATGAAAAACCACCGACTTCTTGGTCAGTCGGGTCAACGGAATTGCTATCTTGGAGAACTCCTAGATAAATCTCCTGTAATACCCTGCCAGACCCAGGAAACGCCGAACATCAGATGGAAACCTCGGAATCTCCCACTGCATCACGGCCACTATCTTAGCCGCGTCTACCAAAATACCCTTCTGGTTGACGAGGTGCTCAAGAAACTACACCTCGCGCAACCAGAACTCACACTTGGATAACTTCGCGAAAAGTCTCTCCGTCCTCAGTGTCTCTAGCACCTCTCTCAGGTGCTCTTCATGTTGCTCCTGAGTCTTGGAGTAAACCAAGATGTCCTCAATGAATACTATCACAGACCGATCCAGCATCGGTCTGCACATGCGGTTCATGAGGTCCATGAATGCGGCTGGAGCATTAGTGAGCCCAAACGACATCACCACAAACTCATAATGACCATAGCGGGTCCTAAAAGCGGTCTTCTGCATGTCATCATCTCTAACCCGCATCTGGTGATATCCGGACCGTAGATCAATCTTGGAGAACCAATATGCTCCCTGAAGCTGGTCAAACAAATCATCTATCCTCGGGAGTGGGTAATGGTTCTTCACTGTTACCTTATTCAGCTCTCGGTAATCTATGCACATACGATGCGACCCGTCCTTCTTCTTTACAAACAGGATCGGGGCTCCGTGTGGCGAACTGCTCGGCCTGATAAAACCCTTGTCTAGCAGCTCCTGCAGCTGTGTAGAAAACTCCTGCATCTCAGGAGGAGCCAACCGATATGGTGCCTTGGCTATCAGAGCCGCACCAGGGACCAGGTCAATCCAGAACTCAACCTGTCTCTCCGGAGGTATCCCAGGCAAATCCTCCGGAAATACGTCCCGGTAGTCTTGCACTACTGGTACATCATCTACTGTCGCCTTACCCTTATCCCGTGTATCCATGACATAGGCGACGTATCCTGTGCAACCCTGCTGAAAGTAGCGCCTCGCTCTCGCCGCTGAACAAAGAATCGGTCCGCGTTGTGGCCTCTTGCCCTGTATCACTAACTCTCCCCCACTAGGAGTACGAACCCTCACTAGCTGCTGTTTGCAGTCGATCACTACCCCGTTGGGACTCAACCAATCCATACCCACTATAACCTTATTCCCTCGCAGGGGAATAGGAACCAAGTCCACTGAGAACTGTTCATCAAATAACCGTAGCGTACATCCTCTATGAACCCTCGCGCCCTGACGGTCCTATCATCTGCTATCTCGACATCGAGTGGACAATCCAGCTCCCCCAGAGCTCTACTAAATCGCTTGCTAAGTGCAAGCGATACGAAAGATCGGGTAGCACCCGAATCAAACAGTACCATGGCTGATATGTCGTTCACTGAGAACGACCCTAT